ATCTAACTCAAAGTTATTTTTGTTAACTTATTCATCTAACCCAAAGTTATTTTTGTTAACTTATTTATCTAACTCAAAGTTATTTTTGTTAACTTATTCATCTAACCCAAAGTTATTTTTGTTAACTTATTTATCTAACTCAAAGTTATTTTTGTTAACTTATTCATCTAACCCAAAGTTATTTTTGTTAACTTTATTTATCTAACTCAAAGTTATTTTTGTTAACTTTATTTATCTAACTCAAAGTTATTTTTGTTAACTTTATTTATCTAACTCAAAGTTATTTTTGTTAACTTTATTTCTCTAACCCAGTAATTTTACAACTTACTAGGTAAACGGACAAGACATGTCTAACGCTAGCCACGAAGAGGCAGTAGATGCTTTTTGTAAGGCCCAGGAACCGATTATTGTCGAAGTTCTTCGTCCAGATTCCGTTAAGCCTAACATAGCGTCGAATAATTCTTCTCGAACCTTGGACAACATGGCACAGTGCGACAGAACAACACAAACTGAGTGGACTGGAGGTTGGCAAGTGACACCAATCGAGCACTGTTCACCTGCTCCGTCAAGGTTTGTTTTTCTTTATAACATTTTCTATATTAGATAACTTAGAACAAAAATGTTGACCACTCTAATTTTGTCCAGTTGCTAAAGTGAGTTCCATATAGTTATTTTCTTATAATTAGCGTGCAATACTCAACACCCACTAAAATTCTATTTGGAAATATTATCGCATGTTAAGTAAATAAGTCGTGGATTCTGTAATTTTCTCAACATTCATGTTCGGATGAGTATCTTGTAGGATGTTATACATGATTTAAATGTTGAGTAAATAAAGTACAGGTTCTATAGTTCCATCAACTTCAAGTTCGGTTGAGTATCTTGTAGGATGTTATACATGATTTAAATGTTGAGTAAATAAAGTACAGGTTCTATAGTTCCATCAACTTCAAGTTCGGTTGAGTATCTTGTAGGATGTTGTACATGATTTAAATGTTGAGTAAATAATATATATATATATATATATCGAAATGTTTACGTTTTACATTTTTGAAACTTATCTTAACTGAAAATCTGATTTCCAGAAGGTAAAGAAAGATATTTTGGGTCAGCTCGATGTGATAAACCTGATTTTTTTAATTTATGAAAGTGCTCTGATAAAGCCTCCAACACACTCAAATACAATTGTGTAAGTACAAAGTTTGTTTTAATTTGTATATTTTGTTATTTATTACTGCATTTGTGAAACTTTCTCGGGGGGGGGGGGGTGTTTAAATTTATTGAGACTAATTCAACCTTGACCCCAGTTACTTACTTAAAGTCCGTTTATTTTACTGACATTTCGATTATTTGTGAAACTTTCTCGGGGGGGGGGGTTTAAATTTATTGAGACTAATTCAACCTTGACCCCAGTTACTTACTTAAAGTCCGTTTATTTTACTGACATTTCGATTATTGTCCCGTTCTCCATCATCAAGGTTGATCATAAAGACTCGAACAGTTGTTTCACACAACACATCTCCAATACATATTGTGTGTTGTTCCACACAACACAACTTCAATATATTGTCTGTTGTTTCACACAACACAACTCCAATATGTATTGTGTTGTTTCACACAACACAACTCCAATATATATTGTGTATTGTTTCACACAACACAATTCCTATATATATTGTGCAAGACAATCGCCTCCTCTTCCGTCCAATCTTGCTCTTTAAATAATATAAAACCTACAGAATAGAGCGGGAGATTAAAAGTATATCTAAACTTAACTTCAAGTCAAACTAAAGGATTCAAACCGTATTGTCAAATAATGACCGATATAACTCCAGAGCAGACTGTAGGATTGAAAGGTAGGTAATGACAACCAATATAACTCCGGAGCAAACTGTAGGGTTGAAAGGTAGGTAATGAACACTAATATAACTCCAGAATAAACTGTAGGATTGAAAAGTAGGTAATGACAACAAATATAACTCCATAGCGGACTGTAGGGTTGAGAGGTAAGTAATGACAACAAATATAACTCCAGAGCGGACTGTAGGATTGAAAAGTAAGTAATAACAACAAATATAACTCCAGAGCGGACTGTAGGGTTGAAAAGTAGCTTTCGTGTCTGTAACCAAACTACCTACGTATTAGATGAGAGAATTATTTATGACATGAAAACTTTATTTGTGAACGAGAATGAATGAACGACGTGAAATAAGGAAATGTTCAAACATCAGGCCTAGGAATGACATAATCGAGTCCCATATTTCGAAATGGATTATTGTAAAAGACAATATAAAGAGGATGAAATGATGAGAAGACTGAAACTGGACAAGGAGAAACAGTGATTGGAGAAGAGAATAAAGAAATTGACCACGTACGGAATGGCCTAGTATACTTGATTCTCGTAAATATTTTAAGTTTTTTTCGGTAGCTTTTTTGTTTTGCTTTATCTCTTTCCTTAAGTCTAGAGTTGTAACAGTCACTATTTTTAGATAGTGTTTCAATCCTTCAGTCTGCTCTGGAGTTATGTTAGTCATAATTTGAAGATATTCTCCAGTTAACTCTTAACAAAGTTAGTGCCTCGGGGTAAACACAATGTTACGTGAAAACATCGTTAATAGCGAGGGTACCCAACTGACGAAACAATGCATTACAATCTTCATAAGAACGTAATAAAAGTATATTTAATTATCTATACGAGGGAACCCAACTGACGAAACAATGCATTATAATCTTCATAAGAACGTAATAAAAGTATATTTAATTATTTATACGAGGGAACCCAACTGACGAAACAATACATTATAATCTTCATAAGAACGTAATAAAAGTATATTTAATTATTTATACGAGGGAACCCAACTGATCAAACAACGCATTATAATCTTCATAAGAACGTAATAAAAGTATATTTAATTATCTATACGAGGGAACCCAACTGACCAAACAACGCATTATAATCTTCATAAGAACTTAATACGAGCGTACTTAATTATATATATATCCATTACCAGGTTGGCTATTAGTTTCGCTCTAAGTAGATAACTTGCTCTAAGCGGGAAGTTAATAGTAATTATAGCAAAACTTGTTAAAACATGTTACTCATCTATCTGAATTTCTCCTATAATTCTTATCGACGTCATATTAATTATTTCAGCGAAAGTAAGACACTCTAAAAAGCAGTTTATGCATTAATAAAGACAATATTATATAAAAAAATAACAGTTTTAAAGTATTTGGTGTTATAAAGCAACTCGCCAGTAAACTGATTGGTGTAATGAGTAAAACGTATTGAATCATTAATTTTTAATCACACTTTCAGCAACAATTTCGGCCGTAATCCCATAAATATCTCACAACGAAGGTCGGCTAAATTAAAAGTTGTATATTAGTCCTAGATAGGGTCATATATTAAAGTACCAATGAGTTCGAATATAAGATTCAGAGGCAAAACCTGTTATTTGTTATTCTGCGCTAGTTTTCTAAACTCAGTTGTAAAGGTTTCCAATACTCGTAGGTCAGTTTCATTGCTGGCTTGTAAAATAATTTTGGACTGATGACTGGATGAATGAATACCATTGCACTACAATATTTGTTTTTAAATGCTAGTGGGATAGAGAGTTTTTGCTGCAGAGGACATCTGAATAAAGTTATTTTGGTCCTTAATGTGTCATGTGGTTCTTAGTCTGATTTATATTATAAAGAATGAAATTACGTTATACTTATGGTAGTACTATGAAGTATTTTCTTTATTACACGATACTACTGTTTACCCATAAACTGTAAGAACAGTGTTACACTAAACTATGGTTAACCATTAAACTTTAAGAACAGTGTTATACTAAACTATGGTTAACCCTTAAACTATAAGAACAGTATTATACTAAACTATGGTTTAATACCAAATTCAATGAATCTGACAGGGCAATCCGGTTTGGGTATTTAGGAAGCTCCATAGAGTAAGCCTCGTTTAATACTCGAAACAATGGGCCCCGAAGAACATCTCGGTTTATGTATTTTGGGTGCTCCGTAGAGTAAACCTGGTTTTTACATCTGAGACAATGGGTCTGACTCGGCATCCCACTTTATGTGTTTTGGAAGCTCCGTGCAGTAAGCCTGGTTTTACACCTAAGACAATAGGTCTGACAAGGCATCACAGTTTATGTATTTTGGGAGCTCCATTAAATAAGTCTGGGTGTGATACTATTAGTTTTATGGACATTATCATCAGCCTTTTTAAGTTTTAGCAAATATCTTTTTCTTTTCTTTTTTCATTTATCATAGTCCTTGCGGACCGTTGAGCCGATGGCAGATCTTGCTCTGCCATCGTTGCTAAAGCTGTTTCTTACGTCAAGGATGTAACCCACTTGACAGCCTTCCCTCTTTGAAAGGACGAGCATGTTTGGTGTGACGGGGATTCGAACCCGCGACCCTCAGATTGCGATTCGAGAGCCTTAACCACCTGGCCATGCCAGGCCAAGCAAATATCTACAAAGGCTATTTTCCATACAAGTAGTTGTATCTTACTTGTAGTTATATCTACTATAATTGTAGCAGTTGTATCTTACTTGTAGTTATGTTTACTATAATTATAGCAGTTGTATCTTACTTGTAGTTATATTTACTATAATTGTAGCAGTTGTATCTTACTTGTAGTTATCTTTACTAT